CTGATCCAGGGGGTAGGGGGGCCAACGGGGGAAAGCCTCTCCCCTCCTCCCCGCCCCCCCCAAAAAAACTGTTTTTTGATAAAGGGAAAGTTTACTTCCTCTTCCTCCAAAAAGCACATAAACCCCAAAATATAGCCTCAAGCTGCAGAAAGGTCATAAAAGGTTTCATGAAAAAATTTTTTTGTTCCCCAAGTAAGACCTCCCCCCCCAAATTTGGTTCAGGACCTGTCTGTAATTAGATGGGGGGGTTCCTCAACAAATCTAACTCAATCTCATTTTCACCTTTAAAGTGTTTGCCAGAACTTCCCTCCAAGATTCTAGCATAATTTTTATTGAGTTGTTTGAAATTCAACTAAGTGAAACTCAGATCAGGAAATTAAGTTTTAACCACGTAATGCCTTATTTTTTTACCCACAACAGCTGATGGACCGGGTTTTTTTACCCGCAAATTTTTCAACCTTGCAATTACGCTTTGTCCCAAGCAAGCATGACACATTAATATGTTAACTACAGAACTGAAAAAAGAATTCTTAAACGAGTGTACACATCCTCCATAGAACAAATAAGGAAAATTACACATGTATGTGCGTCTACACGTCATCAGGCATCAAGGGGATAACAAGGTGTCACTCATAACTCAAAAATGGGAATTATTTCAATGCAATAAAACTTTTACAGATTGGTATAAAATGGTAGAGAGCCAAAAAACAAAAGAAACATGTGCTCTGTGTTTGGATATCGTATGTTAAGTGGCATACAAATACATATTGTTCAGACATTTTGAAAGGATGCTTTAATTTACATGTACATGTACTGATAGTTTTACTTCAACTTCAAGGGTTGATCTCAAAAATGAAATGTTCTTGTTGAAGGATTTTACATAAATATAATATCCCAGTCATGATTGGCTTCGATTTTCCTCTGTTGATCTTTTTTTGTATACAGGTGCATGTCCATCCATACATTGGACATTTCCTGTCATGCCTCAAATACAGTAGACAAATCACTTTGAAATGTGGTTCTCTGACTGCAGTGTTGTAGTCCAGTCCATCACAGGTCCCTGTATGTCCATCACAGGTCTCTGTATGTCCATCACAAGTCCCTTATGTCCATCACAAGTCCCTTATGTCCACCACAGGTCCCCGTATGTCCATCACAGGTCCCTGTATGTCCATCACAGGTCCCTGTAAGCCCATCACAGGTCCCTGTATGTCCATCACAAGTCCCCGTATGTCCATCACAGGTCCCTGTATGTCCATCACTAGTCCCCGTATGTCCATCACAGGTCCCTTTATGTCCATCACAAGTTCCCGT